TTTTTTTACACACAAAAAAAGCACTATATGTAAGTGTGTGTGTGTGTGTGTGTGTGTGTGTAATCTTCAAGTATGTTTTCAGCTAGAATTGGCAATTGAGGAGGGGAAACTGGGTACAGCAATGAATTTTTGTCTGTTTATTTGTATTTGCCTTTTCTCAATATACAGTTGTCTTTCTTTTAGCAATGAATCTAATAAAGGTATAGCAACATAAGACTTAAGATATTTATTTAGTCTTTATTCTATTTCCCTGCATACGTAAGTCTTTATAGATTTACCTAATAAGTTATGACATCTCATGCTTGTCTTCTAATAATATTTATTTCTAGCCTTTATTTTTATACATAACTCACACCTAATTCTCCTTCCTCTTATTTTCCCCACAACAACTACAGAAATAAAAGACAAATGTGACATTTCTGGAATGCCCTTGTTAGAAGTTACAAAAAAGCCTCTGATCTGCCTATTAGGCTGATAAGGGAAATCTTTTACGTCAATACTCCAGTTTGATTCCCTCATTATAAATCCACACCTAGGAAAGAATCTATACAGCTGAAAGCAATCTTCCTTTCCTTTCTCAGGATTTCACATGACCTCAGGCCAACATCCTAATATACACATCCAGCATGCACTTCAGGAACAACGCCCAGGGCACGATCTGCACACATAAACATCAAAGCCCACTTGTCATGATATATTCCTTTACTGGTAAGCCCCTAATGATGTAGGCTACCTTTAACCATTGTCTATGTTGAATGAATAAAATACTTCCAGCAACTGCCATTTGTGTTTATTGACAACTCGCTCAGAAAATCAGACCAAGAACATTCTTCTGATAAAGGTATTTGTAGGTTGGGCTTGAAATAAGGGGTCCATGCTGCTCTCTTGAGCTTGTTTTCTTGCAGATGTTTCGTTGCCAAACTAGGTAGCATAATCAATGCTAAAAGGGATGGGATTTGCTCTCAATTTATATTCTCACAGGGAAAGCCACTAGAATATAAACTGAGAGCAAACCCGACTCCTTACTAGCATTGATGTTGCCTAGTTTGGGTAATGAAACATCTGCAAGAGAGCAACCAAGTTCAGAGACTAGCATGGACCCCCTCAATTCTCCTAACAGCCTCTCTGAGGATGATTGGGGTAGAGTGAAGATTTCAAAAGGAAGCTTGCAGTACAGTGTGATGGGATTGGATACTTAAAACAAAAGTGCCATTTTTTTGCAAAGGTAGCAAAATTCATTTCTACATATCAATTCGGATTCCCAAGGAGGGGCGGGAGGCAAAATTGTATAAAGTACACCTAAGGGTGCAGCAAAGGTAAGTTTTGTCAATAAATCCATTCCGAACACCAATCTAACTGCAATTATTTAAATTGCCGTTCAAACGTTCATCGATTTTGCCCAAGCATCCAGTAAAATAGCGACCCCACCTCCAGTCGCCACCCGGAAGTTAGAATTACTAGCCCCTCTTATTACGCATGCGGCACATCCCCGCATCCTCACATTTGTGGAAAAGCGCATGCGCAAACCGAGCTTCTTGCACACCGCGGCAGACGCGGTGTAAATCTGGAATCACAAGACCCGTGAGGCGCATGCGCTTTACTTTATTTACAACTTCTCTTGCGTTCAGGCGCGCGCAACTGCCGAGCACGAGCATATTGTTTTCGCAGTGCCTCCGCATGTCTCCGTGCACGGTTCCGTTCCTTCCTGGAGCGCATGCGTCTTTCTGATCTACGAGCGCGGAATTGGTGTACGCAGTCCGCAAGTGCTTAGAGAAAATTGGTTGGTGGAATTACAGAGATGTAGTTTGTTACTATGTATCTGTAAGTGACTCAGCCAGTTGAAAGGATTGGGTGAACAAAACCGGGAAGAGTGTGTCTCTTCTCGCTGTAATCGTTTGGCTCGTCAGCCATTTTCTTTGACTTTCTCCTATTCAGGCACGAAACGTAGTATTGCTCCTACGATAAACATGATGCGTTCTGTATGTTTCAGCACACTGCATCAATTCGTTATATTTGGTCGTAAATATAATTGAATACTATAAATATGCATACATCTGGATTGTACAACTGCAATGAAAGCACTTTATTATTGTCATCTGGTAACTGATAAGATATACAGAAGTAAATTGTAATCACTAGAAAAATATCTAATTTGCTCAGACCAGATAAGTATAAAGAAATGTTGACCTTGTATTTTGATGTGCTTTTAAAACAAGGTTCTTAGAAGCTGCCAGGGCAGAATTTGAAAACCTGGCACCTAAGATAATTTCTGCAACAACTGGAAACGATATGGTGATCAATCCACAGAAAATGGATGTATCAAAAATGTATAAGCATTTGTAGTAAACCCATGATATCAAAATGATACATGCATGAGAGGATCACACAAATGCCACCATTATCTCTTGCATCCTGTCAGCTGTGAATTATATATGTGGACACTAGCCTGATAACATGAGCATTATTTGTCTCCTTTACAGATATCCAAGAAAAGGATTACACCTGCAGGACATGGTTTTATTCAATACAGTACAGCTTTCTGATCAACATACCAAGACATAAAATAACTACATACAAAAGCAGTTGGCTAATTTGTGATCCAAGATGCTGTGTGAAAACAGCTTATCTGGACTATAGTAAAGTGGATTTTGAAGACTTCATTAAATACTTTGTACTGCATGCAATTCAAAGTAATAAATACAACATTTTATCAGTACTAGAGAGAGGAAGATTAAGAACATATCTTAATCCAGTGATGTTAATTGGCTTGAGAACTACTAAAAGGGTTCAGGTCAAGTTAAACCATGATTTAACCATGGTTAAATATGCACATCATGCCAAGTCATTATACTTGTATCTCTTTGTTATGGTCAGTAGCCATATATATTTTCCCTGTTAAATTTCAGCACAGCAGGTATGAATTCAGGGACTATATATCACTGGATTTCCTTAGAAGAAAGCAGACAAATGTAAAATAAGTGAAAATCAGAATTGCAATTTTTTCAAGTGTAAAGAAATGTTACTTTATTTTAGGTTATTGTTCACTAGAAATAAATTATCTTTTAATGTAAAAAATGACAAATTTTCAGCAAATTTTGGCAATGTACAAAGACCTGTTCAGAGCTCTAACTTTAAGTTCTCAGTTATGCAGCTCTCACAGCTCTGCAGTAGCATATCTACTATTGCCTATTAATAATACAAATTTCTACACCATTTTTCTTGAATTCCCTTTTTTCTTCTGTTGAATTCTGTCTGAGTCTTGGAAACTGCTTAGATAAGTCCCTGCAATTTTCTTTTTTTCAGAATTGGCTTGCTAAGGCCTTCTAACCGAGGGCTGAAAGAGGACTGGCCCAAGGTCACCCAGCCAGTTTTGTGCAAAAGATGGCACTACAACTCCCGATTTCTAGCTTGATTCCTTAACTTCACCAAGGGGGCATGTAGTAGTATACAAAAAGAAAAAAAATCAAGTTAAACAGATTGGATCAATCTGTTGCTTTTATTGTCTTTCACATGATTTATATCCCATTTTTCTATCCAGGGAGCAGGTAAAAATAGTTAAAAGAAAAACGTATTTAAAAATGCACTCACTTATATTGTGCCCAACAGTTATCCATCAGTGGAAATTTATTTCTTTGGAGGTATAGGTAGTCTTCAACTGATAACAGTTTGTTTAGTGACTGTTCAATGTTACATCACTGAAAAAAGTGACTTATGACAGTTTTTCTCACTTAGCATCTCCACGGGCATGTGATTTACATTCAGATGCTTGACAATTCACATTTATGATGGTTGCAGTATTCTGAAGACATGGATTCTACTTTTGCTACCTGACAAGCAGTCAATGGGGAAATCAGATTCACTTAACAAACATATTACTAATTTAACAACTGCAGTGATTCACTTAACAAAAGTGGCAAGAAAAGTTGTAAAATGGGGCAAAACTCACTTAAAGGATTTTTCACTTAACAACATAAAGTTTGGGCTCAATTGTGGTCATAAATTGAGTACCTATATTGGCTTGCCTAAAGCTATCTTTGGCTGATCAGTTAAGATATATCTTTTCACCCAGGCATTTATAGGGTAACTATGCTAGAATCAAGATCACTTCTTAACTTACTTGACTTGTTTTTCCCCCAAGAATTTTAAAATCAATTTATTATTTAAACATTGATAATGCTTTGTTTTGTATACTGTCTAAATTACAAGAGAGAGGAAGGCATTATGCTTCCTGAATAGTTTTGTTAGAAGAAAAAAAAATCCCGTGTTCTCACGAACGCAAGGTACATGTATACTTTACATTATAAGGTACTTCACTTGTCCTCTGCAACGGAGCTCTTTACTGGTCAATACAATAATTAAAACTTAACAGGTTAATATATGGACTTCGTTAATCCTTCTTGCGCTTTTTACCAGTAAAGATTAAATCGATGTAAAGCCGAATAATATGGACGGCTGGCAGCAAAAATATAACCAAATTAGAAGGTGAAAAGATCAAGGCTGGCGGCCATTTTGTAAAACGGGTCCATGTCACTCAGATAAGAAAAAAAATAACGGCGAGGAAAGAAAGACAACCGTTACTCGCGCGCGCCCGTCTTGGCATTGGCCAATCAACTTTAGTCTTTAAAAGAATGAGCCCTACGGTCACAGCGCTCGCCAGTCCGCCCAATCAGCAGGCGCTACACGTGGGGTCCCTTGTATGGTCCCGCGCACGTCGGGAACGAGGACTACAGCCCCACCCAATCACTACCTGCCGCCTTCTCCACACCCCTTTTCCCCCTCCCGCTCAGAAACGCTGTGGTGCGGGAGGGGGGAACGCGCGCGCGCGCGCGCAGAAGGGGCCAATCAGCGTGCGCGCCGAGGAATCCTCGCGCCGCTGCCTCCTCGCTCTATTCCCCCCTCCCACCTCACTCCCCCCGCCCGCGCGACGTTGCTGCTGCTCCCCACTCGCTCCCCCCTCCCTTCCCGACCCCCCCTCTCGCCGAGCTGAACCCCCTCCCCCGCTCGTTACCGCCGCCATGGACCCGAGCAACTGGAGCAGCTTCATCTTCCAGGTAACCCCCCCCTTTTCCTCCACCTTCCCCCTCCCTTCTCCGCAAAAAAAAAGGGGGGGGAGCGCGAGCAGGGAAGGACAAGAGAGCGCAAGCTGGAGCTCTAGGCTCCCTACTCACACCCTCCCTGCCCCGCCCCTCCCCTCGGGAATCTCAGCGGGCGGGGGCCCTTGCGCGCGCGGGCCAGCAGGGCGCACTCGGCACGCGCTCCCCCCCACCGTCCGCCTCGCGCTGCCCCAACGGTCACCTCCCTCCGCCCAGCGTTGCCTTGCGCTCCCTCTACCCCCTCGTTCTCTACGCTCGCTGTGCCCAGCCCCTCGCGCTTCTCTCCCCCCCCCCGCCAACGGTCACCTCCCTCTCGCGCTTGCTCTGCCCAGCCCCTCGCGCTGCTCCCCCACCTTTTTCTCTGCCAGTTGCTACCTCGGTGCCTCCTCAGCCCCACTCCGAGGGAGCTTTCTTTCCAAAATGCCCCCCAAGATAGGCACGCCTCAGTCGCCTCGCCCTAGTTTTGCCACACGCACATAATCCTCCCCTTTCCTGCTACCTCCACACTCCCACCACTCTCTGCCAATATAATGCCTCTTATCCATGTTGGCTCCCTGCTTGTCAGGCCGGTATCCCAGGGGTTTCCACCCCGCATTAGTTTGAACTTGGCCACCCATGCTCAAAAGGTGCTTCCTTCTTATTTTCCGGTCCCCAGTATTTGCTTACCCTCAAGCGCATGCACTTACAGTAGGAGGTGGCTATGGACTACCTTCTGGTGCCAACAGGTGTAGTGTGAATTTTCCACCTGTTTCCTCTTTTTATGTTTTTTGTATGAACTCTCAAGGGTAGGTGGTCTCCTGCCATAGGATAATGCAGAAAAATCCCCAATTCTTCCATCTGACCTAGTAATAGAGAGCTATAGACATAACTAGTAAGAGGCATATTTACTCCGTTTATTTACTTTCCAACATTTTGGGTGAATTGGTGTGTGTGGTCAAACCCCACCCCAGGTGTGTTGCCTTGGACTTGCCTTAACATGCTGTCCTTTCTTCACCCCATTGAGTTGCCTTAATTTGTTCCCCCTTTGTAATTGTTTAAACCTGTTTTAGTCCATTGCCCAACTGTTTCAAACATACATGTAAATCCTAGATTCTTCCATCTTGCCAATAAATAATTAATATTATATAAATAGATGTAAATATGCCTAATAAGAGGCACATCTCTTCCATTCATTTACTTCCCAGTGTTTTGGGAGAAAATTTGTATATGGTTCAGAGGCCTCAAATCAGTTGATTGTATTTGCTTCAACATGTCTTTTTTCCACCTTCTTTAACTATTTGTCTTAATTTGCTACCACTTTTAATTCTTTGAACCTCAGTTTTCAGTGTTTATCAGCAAAGACTAGCCCCTTCCTGTTGTATGCTCCCCCAATAGAAGTGCTGTATTTCTTTCCAGTACCTTTTCTTTCTGATCAGAAATTTCTCTGCAGAAGATAACCAAGGCCTTCTATTTTTCAGATAGGCCACCACTCAGTTTCAAACCACTTTTAAATAATTCTCCTTTAAACTACACCTTAACTTCATCTGCAGCTTTCTCTTTATCTCCCCCCCCCCCCACCATAGCCTTATTCTATACTTCAGAAATGTAAGGCACATTTCATACAGTGACTGCCTATATCTGTTGCTACTATTTATCTTTTCTGGTCTCTCCTTTACAGAACATTTTCATACAACTCTAGTATTCTACATAGAATCTCAATTTATTATGGCTGCAAAAGTAATCAACTATCTGTTTTGATATACTGTTTCATGTGATTTGGATTTGAATGCTAATTGATGTACTTAAATAATGTTATGCGTACTTTTTTTCTTCTGCTATTTTTTCATTTCCAACTCAATTGCTCAATGTATTCATAATTTGTCCATAGTTGCATACAATGCTTAAAATTACTTAGGTCAGATGAAGAAAAGTTTGAGCTTTCTCCCAATCCAAAAATTCAATATGGCTGACATTTTCAAAAAATATTTTTGTTAAAGAAGCTTTTATAAGGTAAAGACAATTCAAATTTAAAGAGAAATTAAGGTAAAAGAAAAGTGATAAATAAATAGCAAAGAAAAAAATGAAAGAAAGAAAAGTTTATAAAAATGATTTCTGATCTTTACAGCAGTTATATTTGTATTTATACTTTATCCTCTCTAAGGGTCATGCTGCTATCTGGTTTAAGATATTTTATTTTTTATAATGAGCTCTTCTTCCAGTTTAAATCAGTTTTCCTGTGGAATCACTAAATTATTTCTCTATTGGTTTTTGAATTTAACTCTTGCAGTTGCCTGTCATAAGAATCATTTTTTTATTAAAATTCCCTGATCTTTGTTTTGTTTTTTTAGCAGAGTCATACTCAGAATCCTCTACAGGTTGGGACTGAAATCCAGTCAAGATTTTTTGCTGCTCAGGGCTGTAGTCAAAGTCCTTTCCAGGTGAGCTATTTAGTCAATAAAGGAAAATCAAGTGATTCTTCGGAAAACAATTGCTAGAAGCAACTGTGTCTCACTATTGCAGATTAGATTTTATGTATATCAAAAGCAATCGTACCCTTTGCAAGACTTTTATTGAAAGTTGTTGCTGTTGCTATAAATGAGTTTTATAATAATTTAGTCATTATTTGAAGTCACTTTCATTTTGATACCATTGGCTCTGAAATAATGATTTGGCCAAGACTAATAAAATTTGTGAGAGTCAGTTTAGTGTAGTGGTTAAAACAGCAGGCTAGAAATTAGGAGCTGTGAATCCTAGTCCTTCCTTAGGCACAAAGCCAGCTGAATAATCTTGGCCTAGTCATTTCTCGCAGCCTTAGGAAAGAGGCAATGACAGACCATTTCTAAAAACCTTGCCAAAAAAACTGCAGAGACTAATTCAGACAGTCTGAGTATTAGATAGGATTGAACAGAAAAAAAAGTTTGTACCATCGTTTTGGATTTGTTCTGCTTTTTAAAGTAAAGATTAAATTATTTAATAGGGCTTAACTACCAGTATAACTGCACCCTAAGATTTCCTCATGATTATTTAAAAATAAAGCCAATCTGAATAAAAATGTTATTGTATTTCGGGAAAATGCAAAACGTTTGATGCTGACAAATATCTGACAGATGAGTGTTGCTTAGCCCTAGGAAAAAATGCCTCCGTGTACTTACTATCCAAACTTGGTTTGAGGTGATGTATCCAAAAACACAATACATCTGGAATAGCTTCATCACGTAAGTCTTTCAGTCAATTGGAGCTTCGTTTACCAAGCAGGCATAAACATAAGCATCCATGCCTTTACTGCTTAGAGTAGATAAATAGCATGAAAAACAGGTTGCTATCTTTGACCTTGTAGCTGAGATGCCAAATTTTTTCAGGGATAAGTCAAAGTCTATCCACCTTTTCTCTTCATTTTGTGGCTTGATTGCTTTGGATTTTTATTTGTATCCCACAAGAACAAATAGCAGGTTTTCCCCCATGTTTGACACTATGGAAAGTGGGTTTCTCCCTCCCCCTGTTACAGCTGTAATTTTGAAAGACTTAAGATTGTTTATCTTACCATTTTGCCACCTTTTGTGATGGACACAGAAGCAAGTGAGATTGGCATAATCTATGTCAATAAATTGTTTTGCTTTTTAAAGATATTTAAATATATTTTTTCTTTATAAAGCACTAAAACTTACTTGTTAACAATATAGCTAACAGATCATCTTCTGAAATTGTAGGTCAAAGATTATGTACTGTTTTATGATCATTTTTTTTCTAAGGCATGTAACCATAGTTATATCATTTTAGTGACAAATAATATTTCTTTGCATGTTTCTTGACTATATCTTGCTGAACATATTGAGATTTATTTCCAAATAAAATTAATAGGATTTGTTCAAAGTTACGAAAAAATGTCTGACCTGGACACTTATAGTGCATTCAGAAAGTATTCAGACCCCTTCACTTCTATCAATTTTGTTATGCTGCAGCCTAATTCTACAGTTGTTGAAATTTATTTTTTTTTCTCATGTAAATTTATTAAAAAGAAAAAACTGCAATATCACATTGGCATAAGTATTTAGACCCTTCACTCAGTACTTTGTTAAAGTAGTTTTGGCAGCAATTAGAGCCTCGAGTCTTTTGGGGTATGATGTGACAAGCTTTGCACATCTGGATTGGGGGATTTTCTGCCATTCTTCCTTGCAAATCCTCTCAAGCTCAGTCAAGTGGGATGGCGATCCTCGGTGGGCAGCCATTTTCAGGTCTCTCTAGAGATGGTCAATAGAGTTCAAGTCAGGGCTCTGGCTGGGTCATTCTAGGACATTCACAGAGTTGCCCCTAAGCCACTCCTGTGTTGCCTTGGTTGTGTGCTTAGGATCGTTGTCATGTTGGAAAGTGAACCTTTGACCCAGTCTGAGGTCCTGAGTGCTGTGGAACAGGTTTTCATTGAGGATATTCCTGTACTTTGCACTATTCAGCTTTCCCTCAACCCTGACTAATCTCCCAGTCCCTGCTGCTGAAAAACACCCCCACAGCATTATGCTGCCACCACCATGCTTCACTGTTGGGATGATATTGGGCAGGTGATGAGCGATGCCTGGTTTTCTCCAGACATAATATTTAGAATTGAGGCCAAACAGTTCAATCTTCATTCCATCAGATCAGAGAATCTTGTTCCTCATAGTTTGAGAGTACTTCAGTTGCTTTTTTGCAAATTTGGGCTTTCGTGTGTTTTGCACTGAGGAGAGGCTTCCATCTAGCCACTCTGCCATAAAATCCAGATCGGTGGAGGGCTGCAGTGATGGTTGTCCTTCTGGAACTCTGTCCCATCTCCACACAGGATCTCTGGAGCTCAGTCAGAGTGATCATCGGGTTCTTGGTCACCTCTCTTACTAAGGCCCTTCTCCCCTGATTGCTCAGTTTGACTGGGCGACCAGCTCTTGGAAGAGTCCTGGTTGTGCCAAACTTTTTCCATTTGAGAATTATGGAGGCCACTGTGCTTGTAGGAACCTTCAGTGCAGCAGAAATTTTATTATAGAGTTCCCCTGATCTGTGCCTTGCAATAATCCTGTCTCAGAGCTCTACAGGCAATTCCTTTGACCTCATGGCTTTTGCTCTGCTACAGTATGCATTGTCAGCTTTAAGGCCTTCTATAGAGAGGTATGTGCCTTTCCAAATCATGTCCAATCAATTTAATTTATCACAGGTGGACTCCAATCAAGGTGTAGAAACATGTCAGCAACAATTAAGAGAAATGGGGGGCACCTGAACTAAGTTTCAAGTGTTGTTGCAAAGCATCTGAATACTTATGCCAATGTGATATTTCAGGTTTTTTTCTTTTTAATAAAAATTTACAGATGTTTCTAAAATTCTGTATCCACTTTCTCATTATGGGGTACTGAGTGTAGATTAATGAGAAAAAAATGAATTTCAACAATTATAGAATCAAAAGTGAAGGGAGTCTGAAAACTTTCTGAATGCCCTGTATATTGATTATTATATCACAAGATTATTATACCACAAACAAGAATTTATATATAAATCTATTTATTAAGCGGTATTTTTCTCTACTTTTTCACAAGATTATATGTTCAATCCTACATATGTCTTAGAAAAGTTAAAGCTATATGATAGTTCCTGTTCCATGCTTTCTGTTGAGTGGTTGGAGCAATCACTACAATACTGAGAATCTGTCTTTGAGATGGGTATGGCAGTATCACCGTTCACTTATACCATACCTTGAATTGTCTGGACCCAACTTCTGCCCTTCATTTTAATCAGCAGTACAGATAATATGCAGAATATAATCAGTTCTGGTTTATACCTTGTGGTGTGAAGATGCATTTCTTTTGTAAGTATGAAAGGCAAAACAAAATGCCTAAATATGACAATAGTATCTTTCTACATGTTTTTGTTAGAATTGATTGATTTTTGAAATCTAGGAATCATATATATACACTGCTTTAATTTTAGCAGTGCTGTAATCTCAGAACTCCATGCTCTGGGCAATTAGAGAGAAATTAATTAAACTTATTGAAATATGCATGATTCAGGATAATCATGCATTTTAAAATGCAACTAAATTTTTCCTAGATAGGTTCTATAAATCTACCTTGTAATAGCTGATCATCTGATGCTCTGAGGAAGAGGGTTGGCCTTCCCTTACTGATTTTGCCTATAAATTGCCTGAAATCGTGAAAGCAAGCATGTTTGAGTAACAGGGTAGTCATTTTTATGGAAGCAGTTTCAAGGTTGATTTAATTTAAAAAATAGTTTTTGAAACTGACTCAGAAACTTATTTAACAGCAACAGCATAGACTTGAGAGAGCATAATTAGTTTTATACTAAGAAAAACTGTATTATGTGCTGCAAGAGAGATCACTTTCTGTTGAGTATCATTTAAAAATAAATATTTTAAGTTAAATTTTATTACTATAATTCTTCAGGATAAATTATAAGCAGGTCTATCTTAAAAAATTGAAAATAAGCTCCCTATCAGTGTGAATGAGCGTTTCTGCAGTGCTCAGAACATCAAGGTAAAATTAAAGTGATTCCTCCAGGAAGCTAAAATTAGTGGTAGGCATTATTTAAAAAGAAAAATAATTATAAACTGCTACAGTTTTTTTCCCACATTTTAGAATGCCTATATTTTCATTTTACAGTACAGTACAGTACATAGAAATTCCCAACCATTTGGCAAAAGTATAACTGGAAAGTTCAACCTACTCAAAAGCATTAATTTCTAGAGAATACTACTACATGAACTTAATCTCTAATACATAGTACTGAATCTCTCCTGGTGGAGAAAAATCATAAGAAAAATGAGATTGTTCTGCCTTGCAGGTATTAAAGCATAAATGCATCATTCGGGCATTTGTAGAGCTATATACCCTTAAGTCTAGATGACAGTTGTTTGTGCACACATTAAAACTGATCACCTCAGTTTAGTGTAGAGAAAGACATTCTCTGGAAAACAAATGGGATAGTACTCAACATACCACAATATCTTTCTGCTGAACTGTGGAATTACTCCCTCTTCTGTACTGTCATAGACAAAAGCCAGCTACTTTTCTTCCACTCTTATTCCAAGGATATTGCACATATGCTAATATTGTTCCTTATATTTGTAAAGAATCAATTTTAAATACACACACCATGTCACTTATCTGTTATGCAACAAGGAAACTATTTTAGTCTCAGTAGTGGGACATTGTAATACATTCTGGGAGCAGAAAAGGGAAATTCTCCACATAGTGGAACTCTCAAATATTAGTATATTAAAAACTAAGAATTTGCTTTTATTTTGTTTAGTAGCATATGCTGTATATTGATTAATCCAGCTCCTTTTGCTAGGAAAAACTATGCTTACTTTTGAAGTAAGAATTTACTTAGCTTTGTATTTAAGTTGCTAGATTACTGTAGGGTTTCAGACTTCATTGTTCATCACTATGTTACTCAATTATACAATCTCTCTTTTTTCAGACTGCCACCACAACTGCTCCTCCCCAACAGACAAGTACCTCTGCTGAGTCCCTCCAAGTGGACCTCCTGCCTGTTTTGGCTGCAGCACAAGAAACAGCAGCTGCAGCTGCTGTGGTTGCTGCTGCCACTGCTTCTGCACCAGCTGCTTCCACAGTAGATACAGCTGCCTTGAAACAGCAGCAGCCTTCTGCCTCTGAAGGTGGGAGTGGGCAGGTAGTGCCACCCTCTCAGACCACGCAAGCCCCTACCCCCCAGGCAGCTCCTGCCAACCCACAGGCAGCTGAGGCCCAGAAGAAACCGAAGAGTAAAGGGCCCTACATTTGCTCCCTGTGTGCTAAAGAATTCAAGAATGGCTACAACCTGCGGCGCCATGAAGCTATACACACAGGAGCAAAAGCTTCTCGTGCTGGACCCACAACCATGAAGATGCCCACTATGGTTCCCCTCAGCTTGCTTAGCGTTTCTGCCATCGGTGGTACAGCCCCAGCAACACCTGCCCCTGCTGAGGGTACTGGAAACACAGCAGGGTCAGGTGCAGGCCTAGTGACCACTACAGCATCAGGCAAACGTATCCGGAAGAACCATGCTTGTGAGATGTGTGGGAAAGCCTTCCGGGATGTGTACCATCTCAATCGGCATAAGTTGTCACATTCAGATGAGAAGCCCTACCAATGCCCTGTCTGCCAGCAACGGTTCAAACGGAAGGACCGCATGAGCTATCATGTCCGTTCACATGATGGTGCTGTGCACAAGCCGTACATCTGCAGCCACTGTGGGAAGAGTTTCTCTCGGTATGAGGGAGTTGAGGGTTCAGGGTGGATGCAGTTCATATGGGAATTTTTAAAGTGCTTGCACAAGAAATTTGAGAAAAGTATTTCCCCTTTTTGGTAAAGACTAAAATACACATACAACATACCAAACTGACTTAGGAAGGCATAATAATATAGGAGTGCAAGTTCCCAAATCATCTAGGGAGGTCTGTGGGCCAGATCAGGCCCTCCTCCTTTATTAACTTCCCCAGATCTCTTTAATATGTTGACATAACATTCTAAAAGACACTGGTAGACACTTAGTTCTATGGGTCTCCATAATAGTCAACTCCTTAGGAAATCTATGCTTTCTTTTCATCATTAACCTTAGCAACAATTTCATTATTCTATATAAATTTCAGCTGAGAGAAAAATAGTGAACAAATGTCAGAACATATTTCTCTTTAGTGTGGCTACAGGTGACAATGTGCAACCTTAACTTGAAAGCTTCCCAATTCTTGCCATAGTTCCGTTGGATTCTGACATCAAAGAATCTCTGAGGCAGTTTTCTGATTATTATGTGCACCAGACACCGAAAGTGAATTGAGATATCTTGGCAGACTAAGAATTAAATTTGAAACCTCAAAAAACAAGATCTATTGAATTTAAAAATAAATGGGAAAAAAACATTTTAATCTCATTCCAATGCATACTCATTTTGATATTGCCTGTGAAATTACCTCGTCAGGTTGATAACAGTTTGAAACAATTCTTCAAAGACATTCTAAAAAACTTGCTCTTTAGGTAGTAGATGACTTAAAATTTCTCCATATAAAGAAGTCCATACTAAGACAATGTTACGTGAAGTGGGGGTGAACAATTTAAAATTTATCATTGCTAGCATACTACATTTGGGGAGATCTTTGTTTTTAACTCTGAATTGCACATTAACATTTTCCTCAAAATGACAGACTGAAAAGATTCCAGGCTGTCTGATTTTTACATATTAGAAAATATTCTTGGATCAAGCAGCAACCATGTGGTCAGTTTGTGGGAAAAGGAAATACCACATTTTCAGAACTAAAACCTTACAAGAGTATCAAGTAATGACATGATACTGTATTGGCAACAAGCTTATAAATATTTGTCAATGTGTTGTGGTTAAAAGTTTTAAATACTTTGGCACTCCAGGATATTTCAACAAACACCTGCACAGAAGAAATAGGACTATAAAATAGCAAGAGTCTGGAATACCTTGGACTAAAATACTGAAACTGCTTAATTTAGGACATAGATTGTAAGAAAAATAAATTATTTAAAACTGGCATGAACAGAAGTGAGAAATCTCAAATGGTAGTTAGACTTAGAGTCAGTGCACAATTTCTTCAGTTCAAAATTTGAATTGAAAAAGCACAGAAGACCCAGGTTTCAAAACAGACACAAGCAGAGAAAGGAAAATTGGGATTTTGAACAGGTTTAAGATTTTGCCTCTAAAGTGTTTAAATCACTCCAAAGTGATTTAAAGTTAAAAATCACTCCAAAATATACCAAATAAGTCCGTTTTGATCCTGCATACTCTGGAGGCCACCAGATAGATGCTGATGAGATGCATGTGGCTTATGAACTACACTTTTTTACATCCTTGTCCTAAAGGCAAGTTCCAAAGAATAAGGATTTGTGTTCTGCTTTAGAAATGCAAAAAAGCTTACTAGGTTGGTAATTTTGAGACATTCCCACAAACTTTGGATTAAAAAAATACACAGGAAAAATTGTTCAGCTGATAATCTTAGCAAATAAAATTAAAGAGTTATGTTACTTTCACTTGCCTACTAACAGGGATATTAAATTTTTCTGGCTGTTTTGGAAAAAAAAACTTGAATAAAAGTTGCATCTTGTATGTGGAAGGCAAGGGAAAAATGGATAATAGCAATCAAAAAGGTTGCTGGTACTCAAGAAACTCTTCCTTGGTTTCTATTTGCTGCCCTCACCCCACTATGGAAGCCATGTGCTTGCTTTTTAAAGATATGATATTTTAATATTTACAGTATATTCATGTTCTGCAAATGCCAAGCATTTGAAATTTTGCATCCCAAATAAATTGCCAGGTTGATCAATTATTACATTTTACTTAAGGAAAGCTTATAAAAAGAACAATTAATAGTTATAAACTAGTTTGTTTTATAAAAGGAATTGATTCTTTTGGATTCAAAAATACAAGATATCTTCACTATTTTTAAACATCCACTTTATAATAAAAACTTCTATTAGAAAAGTCTGATACCTTTGGTACTTGCTGGTTTAGAATGATTTAAAGATAGTCCTTTAGCAATCACAATTGGAACTGGCAATTAGTCATTAAGGGATAGAGTCACCAAGTGAAACTGCAACTGTGCTTATGATCTTATTTCAGTTTTTCTTTGCTTTACAAACCTGTGAAGGCTATAAATGTTTGAACTGGTTAAGTTACTTTTTCATTACTGTGAAAATTGCAAATGGTCGCTAAATAAGACAATCATTGAATTCAAAATACAAGTATAGTCTGAAGCAAAAGAAATTGCATAAGACAGGATTTACCACTGTCTGCAATAAATCCCTTCTGCCTGCTTTTATTTAATATTTATAGCAGACGCTACTTGAACCTATTTACAAATTGTTCCCATTATTATGAATGCTAGAAGCAAAATCTCCTTACAGAAATTACTTCCAATTAAACTAGGTGTAGTTAAACAGTCTCATTTTTAATAGTAAAACCATAATGTCACATCCAGGATTCTAATTTCCAAACTTGCTCAATATGGGCCTTCCATACGTTCAACTTATGAATTATTTAGCATATAATCATCTAAATTCTCATTAATTAATTCCTTAAAGTGTCAAACATGTATTTTCCACTACTAGTGGTATGTATTGTACATAAGAGAATTTCCAGAATGGAACTAAAATTCTGAAGGCTGTTCCTATTATATATGTGCTGCATTTGCAGCAGTTAAGTGTATATGATTCTTCCCAGTTTTTTAAAAAAATATAAAATCCTACTACAAAATAAATGTACCACTGTTATTCCAGTCTTCCCCCAAATATAAAATGTCGGATTCCTCAACACAAGCTTTTTTTGGTGGATAAGTAGAATCACCCCAAACCCATTTAGAGAATGAATAAGAAAATCACTTTTCATCTTATTTTTTTCCTTTCCTCCCACAGGCCAGATCATTTGAACAGCCATGTTCGACAAGTCCATTCAACAGAGAGACCCTTCAAATGTGAGGTATTTTTTCTCCATTGATAACAGTGTTCTATTTATTTATGCTCAAGTGTTCTGGGCAATCTTCCTGATGCAACAGGGAACAAAGATGACCTCCACTTTAAGAAAACCTTATGCACATTTTAGTTTTTAGCTGTTAAATGCATTGAGCAATGGACCAATGGATATAACATTCATTCATATGATTCCTTTGCTCCTATTTTTACAGACTTGTGAAGCAGCTTTTGCCACTAAGGATCGACTACGTGCTCACACAGTCCGCCATGAGGAAAAGGTGCCATGTCACGTGTGTGGAAAGATGCTGAGTGCTGCCTATATCACAGACCACATGAAAGTACACAGCCAAGGGCCGAATCATGTCTGTGAACTGTGCAACAAAGGTAAGAGAATAGGGCTCAGATGGGTAATATTTGAACTTAACTGTAAATATAAATATTACTCTTTTTGAAATGTGCTAAGAGGCCCTGTATGCAAATGTGTGCAGGTTTTCTTAGGTTTCATTCAGTTTCACTGGAATTTAATCTCAGGTAAATTAATTTAGTTTTTCAAGCTTTGCACTTACACTCTTTCTTTCAGGAATGTCTCAATCATAAATCTCTTCATTCTTGACTAACCTGTTTGAAGGTAAATTTAAGTTCAACTTTGTTTCTGGGTACTATTCCCAGCCTCAGCCCCCACCCCAATTTAATCTCTATTCCGGATATTACTTTCCCTTTTTTGCGGGCGGGGGGGGGAGTATCTTCAAGTCAGTTTCAACTTCTGGCAACTGTCTGAGCAAGTCATTTCAGTTAGTGGGTTGCCATTGTCTTCTTCCTAGAGCTGACGGAGAATGACCGGCTTAAGTCACCTCATTGGCTTCATAACCTAATGCAGTACTAGGATTAGTTTCCTAGTTTCTAGCCTATTTGAATATTACTAATTTTCCATAAAAATTTAAAAAAACTGCATAATTTCCATCAACTAGAATACAGCTAAATAGCTTTGTATAAATGACTTATGGAAAGGATATTAAAAACCTTTAAACATGGAACCAAATTTGCTATCCATGAGCAATTCTGCAAAAATGCAGATGAGGCCTGTTAAGATTATCCATAATATATGTTGGAAATTGTGAACTAAACTTTCTTAATACACAAGTGTTAATCAAATGTTATATTTGTTTACAATAAGCAAACTGCCTGGCAATACAAATGGTTCCCAGTATTTCTTTCTCCCATTTATGTATCAAAGCATTTCCTTAGTTTCATTTTGTAGGATACTGAAGAGATTTATAGTATGCAGTATAAGTGAAAGATTATGCTTATTTCTATGGATATAGTCCAATGAATTGATAGACGTGTACAAGAAATAATTTTAAGAATGGTTGAAAGGCATCTGCAGCGGATGTGTCTGTTTTCACCCTATCCATCTGATAGATCAGTATCCCAAATGATCTTGACAATGCAATAGCCTTAATACATTCATTAAAATTATTGGACAATGTGCAAATTAAAAATTGTGAAATTTTTAAAAGTTTAACAGTGCTTTTAATATATCTCCTGGATTATATTTTTGATTGATGTATGTTATCCATATATTAATAATATACAGTATGTTCATATATCTGGAATCTTGGAAACATAAAATAGCAGTTAATTATTATTTTTTATTCAATTTTGGCTCTGAAGTTTGTACTGAATTAAATAATAGAAATACAACATTATAAATCTCTTGTAGGGGGATTCTACTAACATTCCCTTACCAAAATGTCTCTGTTGAAGGTTTGATGATTTTATGTTAAGAGGTTTAGGTTATTTGTACTATATTGATTTCCTTAGTACCAAGATGCAGCTGCCCTTAGGGTGGGATGTGCTGTTTGTACAGTAATAACTTGCTTGGTGGCAAGAAACAGCTGTCTTTGGGATGAGAAGCTGTCTCTGAAATTAGGGAAGCTTGTTGCAATAGATTCTTCACTAAGTTTCAAGACACAGCCACCTCTAAGATGAAGCACAGCCAAGCATTGCAGGACACCGGGTTAACGCTTTCACTAGGCCGGACACTGACCTGGCTGGTTTTTGTCCTTCTCCCCCTCCCGTAGGGTTCACCACAGCGGCCTACCTCAGGGTCCACGCGGTCAAGGACCATGGACTAGCCGCCCCGCGGCTGGNGGCTGGAGCGTTTCCTTTGCAAGCTGTGTGGCGTGCACTGCAAGACCCCAGCTCAGCTCAACGGGCATCTGCAGACGCACGCAGGAGAAGGGGCCATGGCCACTGAGGGCCAACCGCTGCGGTGAAACACTGGCCGGGCCACCAGGCAAGAGCCGCTTCCTTCTGTCCTGGGAAGGGGGAGGGGAGGCCCATTTTTCCCCTAGGGTTGTTTAGGCATCCTTATATGTTCAGTGAGAAAAGGGAGAATCCCAGCTCCCTGGGGCAGCTGCATCCTAACTTAGCATCTCTTTGCCAGTTTAAAGTGCTGCGTATAGCAGTATCTGACTAGTGTGATTTGACTGATCTTCCTGCAGGTTCATCTTCAGGATTTGAGCTCTAGTTTTTAAAAAGCCATACACAGTCCATTGAGTGTTGTATTTATCTGAATATTTTTCTACGGGATTTTGGTGTTTTTTTTAATGTTAAAACCAGGAGGGTTGGGGATATCAACAAATATCTTTATGTTATCAGCAGATACAAATCCATTGGTAAGTGTTTTAGCTTCTTTTTGTCTTTACAGATGGTTGCTTGCATTATGCATCCTGGACAGATCCATTTTATTTTATATTGTACTCTACAGTTTCCTAATCCAGGCATTTAAGCGATAACTGAGTTTCCATATTGTCTTCGGGAGGAGGCTTAACAGTTAGTGCCAGCCTATTTAATTAGCACACACAGACTTAAAATACTTAATCTGTTCAGCTTTTTAGAGAGAAATTCTTCCAGTCTGTGGCTAAATAGGGTATTTTGGAGAAGGGACAGCTGCATCTCTTCTTTACCTCATTAAACCAGATTATTAAACCTGAACTAGTTTAAGGTAATAAGAGGATGTAGGAAGCAAGTTGAAAGCTTGGGCTAATAATAGTAAGAGTTTGGATATGAACATTCTGACTTTCTATTTCTCTTCCTCCACAGGTACGGGTGAGGTCTGCCCCCTCGCTGCAGCCGTCTCAGCTCCACCTCCAGCCGCCGTCACGGTGCTGCCCATGGAGGGAGCTTCGGTTGTGAGCCAAGCCCTCCCCACACAGCCCTGGTGATTTCTGGGAGTGGGGAGACAGAAGCCAACCCTCCCAGTCCCGTCCCTCTCCCTCATTGGCAGCTGGAGCCTTCAAGCCCAGATGGATAGTCATTGGCCATATATGGGTTTCTAATGTAATGGCAGTTTCATTCATTCTCTTCCCCTGCCTGTGCTCATAAAATAGTGGAGCTGGGAAAGCATCTGCTCAGCCAATGAAGCAATTCTTATTCAGAGGGCCATGAAAGGACTTTGTGGATTTTGAGAGTACCCTCATTTTATTGACTCCCTTACTCTATTACTGTTAACTTGTGGCTCTCAGAACAGTCCTGGAAATACATTCATTTCTGTTGTCCATGGTCTAAGCCAAATAATGATAATCTTTATCAAAGTAGATCTTGCTTATTCCAGCAATGCCCCCTGTTGCCCCCAAATGAACTACACAAAAAGAGTGAGACAATGAGGCAGAATGACTTAGTAAGCTCAACTCACAGACCAAGGGGGATTGAAGACTGGAATAGTTGTGGGATGTAGTATAAGCAACATTGCAGGAGAAGAAGTACTGAGTTAGAAATAATGGGTTGGTTGAGGGATTGACAAAACTTGGGGAACCTACAGAGAAGTTAGAAGGGGGTGCAGGTTGGGATTTCATGGCATGTTGGGTGCCTTGTGCTCATGGCTGGGGTTGTGGGGGCTGCAGTGAGATGAGATGGAGAAGGGCTGTACTTCTTTCTCCATGGCTTCAGTGTGGAGTGTTCTCCATTTCCGTGCTGAGAATCTGCTCTGAATTCCCCTCCTTGCCCAGCGCCTCATTCTTCCATGGTGTCTTTTAATGCTCCATTTCCTCAGCTTCTCTTGTGATTCGTGTTCCAAGTGCATCAGCCCTTCGCACCAAGCATTGATGCCCCACCTGCTGAACACCTCCCTTGTTGCATGCAACCCCCACAGTTCGGGGTTAGAGTCTCTCGCTTTTTTGTATTATATATATTAAAAAAAAATCCCCTGACATTTAAAATAACCCTCCTTTGTGGGTTTTTTTGTTGTTAACACAAATGTAATGAAGCTGTGTCCACCTATATCTCCCTGTTCCTTCTCTTATAAGCCCCTCCCCCTCCCCATTCTTTCCTCTTCTGTGAGCCCTTTCTGGATCTGTGTCTCAGCAGCAAAAGATTTTAGTAAAACAATTGAAGGGAAAAAATTCACACTTGTGTCTATTTATTGTCAGATTATTTTGGTATCACTTTGTGGGGGGGGGGAAGTATCCTAGTTCCTGGCTTCTCTTGCACCTCCTTTTATCATCATATTATCTTGGGACCTTTCATATGTATTTAAAATGTGTGATGGATCAAACATCAGGTTGCATATCTCCATTCTAAGTGAGTTCCTAAACCACTTCCTTATTTCTTCCAATTACTCATGGGGCTGCTTTCTGGGTTATGGCTTAGTGGGTATAGCCTTCTTTATAGGAGAAAGAGCAATTCTGAATGTTTTGGAGCCAGAAATTGTGGTGTGATGCAGTTGCTGTGCCCTGGCAAGCCATTAAATGCTGCACTGGAGCTCTGCTGTGGTTAGAGTTAATTTGTGGGCTCTTTTCGTCCTCCCTCCTGCAGCAGCCTGGGCAGCTTATAAATAATTGATGAAAGACTGGAACCGAGAGATTTTATATAATTTTCTCCTGAGGAAGCAGGATTCCCCGAAAACATTTTCTGCATCAAACTCCCGCATCAGCTTGCTGAGCTCATTTGGATCCGAAACATAATTAGTCTGGTTTCTCCCATCTTTCCTAGGATGGTATTTCAGTTTTGCACCCTTGATGGGGCTTTCAGTTCTTGCTAATTTGGCCAGGTTTTGGTTTGCACTGGGCAGTCCCAGAGGAAATGGTGTCAATTGTTCTAGGACTCTAGTTCTTTGATGCTCTGCACTTGTAGCTTGTCAATGTGAAGTTTTTATCATTGGCAAGGAAAGACAGATGGAAAAGAATCCGGGAATATATGGGACTTTCCAGCAACAGCACCATCTCTACTAATCTCTTGCCCCTGCCAGATCAGCTGATTCTTCATAAAACTCAAACCACAACTACTCCCCCCACAGCTTGCATTGAAGAAGCAGGGTCGATGAGACCATTTGACGCGCACCAGTGCAAAGGGAGGGGAAGGGGCGTCCTTGCAGACAAAGCTGCCGAGCGAGCATGTAAGAGGAGTGGGTGTGGGGGGGAGGGAGGGAAGGGGGGCGGAGGCTGCATTTTTTCCATCTACAGTAGCCTCTTGTCCATGGAAGGGGAGAACGGAGGGTTACAGCAGTAAGAGGGAGGGGTGTGATGTGTGAGTAAGGGGGGGCATCCAACCTTCTAGCGCTCTGTTCACCCCACCTCAACACCTTCTGCCAACCGGACGTAGCCAGAAGCGCAGGTAGGAGAACGGGAGACGTTGCTTGGGTCCAGCCTTTCTTCCACACACACACCCGACGCCCCAAACCTCTTTCATCTCTATAACGGGAGACCGGTTGTTGCTGCGGCAAGCGGGCGGGGGAGACCCAAAAGACCGAAGTGAGCTGGGTGTGGGTGAGAGGAGTGCGGCGATCGGTGGTAGATGAAGGGGCGTCCTGCTCCTGGGGGCATTAGGCTGTAGGAATGTGTCGGGATGCGAAATAAGGGCGGGGGCAGTCAGGAATGCTGGGTGGGCGTGGATCCCATCCTTGGCTGAGGTTCCCTCTGGAGACCGGGAAGACTGAGCAGCAGGTATAAGGGCGGGGGGAGTGCGTGGGAGGAAGGAGCCGAAAGAGGAAAGTGGCGGGTTGGTGGAGGCGAGGAGACATCGGCAACGAGAGGCGATTCGGCTGCATGTGTGTGTGCGCGCGCCGCCCGCCCGCCCGCCTGCCCGCCTGCCCGGCGAAATGGCTGGGGGGGGGGGAAAGGGTTTTGGCCCTCTTTGCTCCAAGATGGGTGTGAACTAGGGTTGCGGGAAGAGGGTGTGCGATGAAGTTGGAAACAGATGAAGAGAGGGCTCGGCAATGAAGGCTTTTGACTGAGTTATGGGTCTTCCAGAAAACGTACCCTACCTTGAAAAGGGAGAAAGCGAAGGCTGGGACACGGAGCAAAGCAAGGATCCTATGCACGCTTAGTCGCGTGTATAGAGCAGAGAGGGGTAGGGTGACATCAGGGCTTTCTGAAGGCAGCAAAGTGGGGAGGGTAGCGAATGGCCTGTAGATCGGAGGAGGGAGTGAGGGATCAACTTGGAGGGGAGAGTGAGTAGCCACGAGGTTGAGCAGAAAGAAGAGCAGAGGAAGCCGGGCGGCGGGGATTGGCGGCGGAAAGTAAGAGGTTCCTAAGGAGCTGTCCATGGTAAAAGCCAGATCTGGGAGAGGGTTGAATGGCGGAGAAGAAACGCGTGTAAGCAAAGGGTTTGTGGAAGTGAGTTCACCTTCAAGGGCAGATGGGGAGTGTGAGGGAGAAGGGAAACCGCCGATTCAAGCGATTTGGGTGCTTGGATGATGTTGAGTGATCTGAGATATGTACGATCCCCAGGCAATGGTTATGGGGCTGGTTGAGAGAGAAGACAGAGGTCAAGACAGAGGAAACAGAAAATCAAGATGGTTATTGGAAATATATCCATAAAGAGAAGTACAAGCCATTCAATCCTCTTTAGACAAGAAGGCTTCCAGTCAGTGGAGGAGTAGAGAAAAGGGCATCTGCTTAGAATGGAAAGCATGTACACAGGTTGGACTCGCACCAGCCCCAACCAACCCAGCCAAAAGAGAATGTGAGTGGGGGAGAAGATATTGAGGACCATAAGTCCCATCTTTGTATCAGGTGTTTTTTGTAATAAGGAGAAGCTGTGCTTTTCCTGTGATAAATGACTCTAGCACCTGTTCTCCATCCCACATGATAAAAATTAATCTGGTTTTAGAAAACTTGCATAACTTAGTACTCAGATATTTTCTATTCCTTGTGTAAGAGAGAGACCTGCTGAAATTCCATCCGCTTTTAATTCTTTCTATGAAATAATGTTGCTTTATTGTTAGGAATCTCTTTGCAAGCTTGAGTTATGGTTGCCTCAGAGAATAAAACAGATGAATTCAAAATATATA